AAGGAACTAATGTTAATACTTATTGTATTATTTCAAATGCAAGCGTGCAAATTTCTTAGTTTGATCACTATGGTTTCGTTCGATTTTTTTCTCAGGAAAAATAGCGCTAGAAGTATCATTCGGCAAATGCGCCCGTCAACGATCCACCATCAGATTGTTCATGTCTCTTCCTCTTGATTTAATAAATAAACGAAACTCAAATAGGTTCGGTACGACTTTTCCGGATTTGGGGTATCTATAGGCATTTAAAAATCTTCATTTGTTTCAAATCCATGCTGATTTAGGTGATGTTTTAACGTGATTTTAATTAGAAATATCCACTTGTGTTTAACTATTACCAAAAGAGAACGATTTGGTAATATATTTTAAAGTAAAATGGCACTGAAAAAGTGCCCATTAAGCATTGCTTAAGTGCACTTGTCCTTTAAACCCCTGCAAGATATCTGAGGAATTTAAGTAAGAACACTTTTAAAGTGTTCTTGTATACTTACATGTCCACACAGCAATGTGGTCTAATGGTACCCTCGGAATCGACCACTGTATACTTTCTTGGAGATGTGCATAAAACTGAAATAAATGTATGTCTCCAAAATTAGCATATCAATTTAAAAGTAATTTCTACTAAGAGTATAATGTTTCAGTGATTATACATATACAAGCTTAGTCTGAATTTTAAAATACTCAAGTTTTGTCTGATTTCAATAACCAATCCTTCAAAGAGTCTGTGCAAAATTTCTGGAATATGCAAACTTACCAAATGCTAATATATAGTATGGTATACAAGCATAGATAATAACCAGAAGTCTCTGATGAGACTGTAGCTCTACTGGTCTGTTTGTATAACAAAAGAAAAGTAGCACTTGGATTTGAAACATTGCAACATGCAACAATAAATAGAATTATGTATCTTAATGTAGTCTACTTTTGTGACAAGTTATATTGAAATCAAATGAAAACTAGGAGTAGTAGCGTTTTGAAAGTATTTCACTAAAATTTCTATTTTTAGTAACCATGACAACACCATTCACCCAAATAAAAAAAAACAGAAATACATATTATGTATCGTAGTGTATTCTAACTGTTTGCCAAATTAGATTGAAATCAGACCAAAATTGTAGGAGGAGTAACGTTTTAAAGGAATTTCAAAGAAATTTCTATTTTAAGTAACCATGGCAACACTGTTCATTGAATTCAAAAACCAATGCAATAAATTTTGTATCTTAGTATAGTCTACTTGTATGCCTAATTATATTAGAAGCAGACTAAAACTGTAGCAGGAGTAGTGTTTTAAAGGAATTTCACAGAAATTTCTATTTTTAGTAACCATGGCAACACCGTCAATTGAATAAAAAAACCGATGCAATAAATTATGTATCTTAGTGTAGTCTACTTGTGTGCCAAGTTATATTGAAATCGGACCAAAACTGTAGGAGGAGTAGCGTTTTAAAGGAATTTCACAGAAATTTCTAGTTTTAGTAACCATGGCAACACCGTCCATCGAAATCAAAAACCGATGCACTAAATTATGTATCTTAGTGTAGTCTACTTATGTGCCAAGTTATATTGAAATTGGACCAAAACTGTAGGAGGAGTAGCATTTTAAAGGAATTTCACAGAAATTTCTAGTTTTAGTAACCATGGCAACACCGTCCATCGAAATCAAAAACCGATGCACTAAATTATGTATCTTAGTGTAGTCTACTTGTGTGCCGAGTTATATTGAAATCGGACCAAAACTGTAGGAGGAGTAGCGTTTTAAAGTTATTTCACAGAAATTTCTGTTTTTAGTAACCATGGCAACACCGTCCATCGAAATCAAAAACCGATGCACTAAATTATGTATCTTAGTGTAGTCTGCTTGTGTGCCAAGTTATATTGAAATTGGACCAAAACTGTAGGAGGAGTAGCGTTTTAAAGGAATTTCACAGAAATTTCTAGTTTTAGTAACCATGGCAACACCGTCCATCGAAATCAAAAACCGATGCACTAAATTATGTATCTTAGTGTAGTCTACTTGTGTGCCGAGTTATATTGAAATCGGACCAAAACTGTAGGAGGAGTAGCGTTTTAAAGGAATATCACAGAAATTTCTATTTTTAGTAACCATGGCAACACCGTCCATCGAAATCAAAAACCGATGCACTAAATTATGTATCTTAGTGTAGTCTACTTGTGTGCCAAGTTATATTGAAATCGGACCAAAACTGTAGGAGGAGTAGCGTTTTAAAGGAATTTCACAGAAATTTCTAGTTTTAGTAACCATGGCAACACCGTCCATCGAAATCAAAAACCGATGCACTAAATTATGTATCTTAGTGTAGTCTACTTGTGTGCCGAGTTATACTGAAATCGGACCAAAACTGTAGGAGGAGTAGCGTTTTGAAAAATTGTTTACAGACAGACGGACAGACAGACAGACAGACAGACGGACGGACGACGGACACCTTACTATCGCATAAGCTCTTCTGGTCTCTGACCAGTAGAGCTAAAAATTGGTTAAAGAACTTTATATTGGTCAAGTCTATTAAACTAATTAGACCTTTGAGAATTTCTATCATCATCATCATGATATCTTTTTTTGATTCAGTCAAAATGAGTGCATGTACATGAATAATGCAAATAAATTAAGAAACTTTTATGTACATGCACATGTAAGCATCGCTATATATTATTATTTTGTAATGCATTATAAATTATAAATTTATATATGTTGTTACAGTCAAACCTCGTTATCTCAATCTCAATGGGACTGAGAAAAAACTTTGAAAAATCTGTGGATTCAAGATATCAAGTGTAAAATGCATAAGGAATAAGTGGTTGGGACTTCCAAATCATTTTGACATATCCATGGTATTCAAGATATCGGTGTTTGAGATACCGAACTTTAACTGTATATTATGTCTTAGCATTGGATCATTAGCTGCTCATAAAGGCCTGTACAGCAGTAGAGTTTAATATCATATATTATGTAAATTCTTTACTGTAGAAAAACTAGTTGTATTTCATTTGTCATTGAAGCCACAGATGTGATTTCATATTCATCCTCATACCCACACAGTGATATATATTGTTTGAGAATTACATGTGTATCAAAAAAAGAACTACCAGTAATAAGTTATTGAGTTGTTAAAAAATGTAAATATTTGTGATAGTTAATTATTCATTTGCACTTTAAGTTCTAGAATTAAGTCACTGGTGCACAAACAAATTTTACAAACCAGTAATTACATGCACTTCTGAATTTATATGTACATGTGTATAATTAAATATATTGTAGCTGTTTGGGCTATATATTGACCATGGATGTTGTAATGGTAGCTTAGTGGTTAGAGCACCTGACTAGTAATACAAGGGTCTAGGGTTTGATTCCTGGTCCAGCCATAAATTTTCTCCTGTCCTGTTACAATATCATGCATTGTTAAATAAGAAATCACTTTCAATGCTTTAACAGTACCAATTGATTCATATAAGTGACTATATTCAAAACATGCATACCTTTGAATTTGAGTGGAAACTCGTAAGGGTTATACAAGGTTAACACCTGCTTGTGAGAAGACTGATCATCGGAGTAAAAGTTCAATGATGAAGGAAACACAAACACTGGCAATTTGCCATCAGACGGCTGGGGAGGCTGTCTTAGCATTGGATTACTAGCTGCTCACACCAACCCGTACACAACAACCACTCCCTCATACCACCTCTACAGCAACATAAGGAAAAAAACTTAAAAGAACAGACATAAAATGTGAGATAACACAAACAGAGCAATGAATCAAATCAGGGTATTATACTACTGCTGATGACTGCCATAATAAATTTTAAGCATTTTTCAGTCAAATATACGAAAATATAATTACCATTGAATAATATTTTTACAAATATATCCCAAGAAGTACTCAAACCATAGTGATCAGCAAGTAAAAATACCGTTCCTCTGATAATTAAATATGATAAACAAACGCATATTATGCAATGTTGATATATTGCGAATAATCAGTGGAAAAGATCACACATATCTTTTGTGAAAATTCCCTAGCAAATAATATATATCAATGAATAAACAAACAAATCAGAACCTTTCTGTAGAGCCACAAATTTAAAACTCCCAGAACAAAGAAATAATAATCTGTTCTAATTTTGGCACAGATCTCATCAGCTGTGTTGTCGTCTTCTATTCTCTGTTTTGAGAAAAACGTCACCAAAGGTTGTGCAGGAATTAATCTGCGTTGCAGGAACGTTTGAAGTAAAGCATTTATTTGATTCAGATTTTAGGAGCACGAAGGATGAACATTGTTAAGATTGTTGATTGTAGATTGTATGATTGTACATGCGGTAGTGCAGTGAAAAAAAGTTATGCAGAGTAAAGCAGACGTAAACCAATCTCAGATCAAATTAAGGTATCAGAATCAGATATGTGTTGAAACATTTCGTAGAGTCCGAAGACCTGCATTTCTCTAATCATTTAATGATTTAAATGTTTAAGCCTATGCCTTTCTCCGCCTCTTGTCTTCCACAAACGGGTTAGATTCTTTGGAAGCCAGTAAAAGGAATTAATGAAACTCTGTGGAAGATGATGTTTTTTCGTTGTTAAATAAATGTACTTTTATTCACATTAAGAAGGGGGGGTGGGGGGGGGGGGTCTGGTCCTGATATGCTGTGCATCATTACCCATATCAGGGATGTATATAACCCATGGTTAGTCATATTTTAATTTATTTAGAAGCATCCTCAGGTTGTTATCTTCAAGTTTATTCACTTTGTAGTGGTCCTGGAGGTGCTAGGCATGTATTGCCCTGCCACCTGTGGATACTTTCACACTGATCATGCACCTGCTGTGTCGTGTACAGCTCCTTGCTCTCTTTTTCTGTTAGCTGCTGACTCAAGCAGACATGTTTCTTTCAGCTCCATTATTGTCTAGTGTTGTGTTATTTAATTAAGAAATAATTCCCTTGTTGGAGGAATTGTTGGAGAATATACCCCGATAGTCGAGAGATTTTGTTGGCAAATAAAAACTGAGTCCGAAGGGCGATGTCTTATTTGCCAACAAAATCTCGAGACTGAGGGGTATATTCTCCAACAATTCCAACGACGAGGGAATTATTTCTATTCTACTACGGCAAATATTAAAACTTACATAAAGAGAAATGCAGAAGCTACATTTGGACGTCATCATAAGTGTCTTACGACATCACAATTGAATGCTATCTTAGTTCATTTGTATCTGAAGGCTTAGAAAAAGTATGATATAATCCAAACCCAATGTAAATGTTTTTCCCACCAATTTGTGTCACAATCAAAAGATAACTCTCTCCTTTTCCTAGTGAAGGCAGTAAAAATTAGAGGAAACTGGTTCAAAATTATATTGATAATTTGTTGATGACATTTGTGGTTTATTGGAGAATAATGACAGCGGCCTCTCTTTGATAGAATATGTATATATATGTATGTATAATATATAGTAATAATAATAAGTAATAAATTGCGGATTATTTTATCATAGTGTTTCTTTGTCTCTGCCATCACCACACTTTAATAGGTACATTAGTTAATCTAGAGAAACGCCATAACATCATGACCACGACATCAGGTAGAGGGTGGGGCCACAATGGGTGATAAAGTTTTGCATTTGAATGCATATAACAAAATTCTTCTTAACTAAGGCAAAGGCATGATTAGTCATATTTATATATATGGAAGCATCCTCAGGTAGTGTAAATATCAAGTTTGTTTAAATCATGACCCTGGATGGTAGGGTGGGTCCACGATTGACAGTCGACATTTTGCTTAGGAATATATATAGAAGAGTCTTTTAAAATCTTTTCTTAAGAACAGCAAAGCCATAATTAGTCTTATTTATAGGGAAGCATCCTCAGCTAGTGTAGATTCAAGTTTGTTCAAATCATTACCCCCTGAGGTAAGGTTGGGCTACAATATGTGATCTAACTTTTACATAGAAATATATAGTGAAATTAATCTAATGATGAAAAACAGAATGGCCATCAGTAACTCAAGTGAGCATTGTGGTCCATGGGCCTCTTGCTACTATTGCCATAAGACATTATAGATACTGCATGTAGTAATAAATTATCTGATGATCATATTCTTCTTATTTGCATGGTTTTGTTCACTACTATTTAGTATCTACATGTATGTACTGAGTTCAAATTTTTGTCAACATGAGCCTCAACATAATTTGCTTAAAAAAATTGTTTCTAGTGGATAGTTTGCAGAAGCTTTTTAAATTTTTTAATCTATTTGTTCTGAAGTCACAAGAAATGGAAAGCTCTTCACAAGAAAGCAAAGAGGAAGCTGAAAAGACAGGCAGAAGCAAGAAAACGGCAACAGGAAATAGATGAAGGTTTATTTTAAATCATATAAATAAAAAAAAATGTTTTTTGTTTAATGATGTTGCCATGATATTGAATTTCAGTTGGTAATTGAAAGCCAAAAGGCTTTTTGAACATGCAAAACATTTGCTACTCTGGACATTACAAAATCACCAGCATAGAAACAGCTGATTTATTTTCAATGATTAAAAAACTTGAAATAAAAAATACAGTGTATTACATATTTGTGAATTAAGTTTAATTTTTGAGAAGTATGTACATTTTTTCCAGAGGAGAAACAGAGAGAGAACTCTGCATTTTATCAGAAAATGTTGAAAGAAAAAGAAGAATATGAGTTGTTACAAGAGCAGCGTGATGAGGCTGAAAGGGCATATCTTCATAAGGTATGGCTGGAAAAGGAGAGATTGGCACAGGAAGAGTGGAGGATCCAAAAGGAACAAGAGACTAAGGAAAAGGAAAAAAGAATAGAAACGGAGGTAAGATCTACAAGTTAAGGAAAATAAAATAAAAAAGATTTCAACAAATTAGATAATGCACCAGTAGATGAACATTACTGACCATATTTCAAGTTCACGTAATTTTTGTGCTATGTAAAAAAAAATGTGTTTTAGAAAAAAATAAAGGAAGAATGGGAAGAAAGACAGAGAAAAGAAAAAGAGGAAGAAGAATTGAAAGAAAAGAAGAAAGAGAAGCAGGTGACGGGGAGAGTAACGAGATATCCTCTATTGATTTATCTCAGAAAATCCACTAGCTGGTTCATCTTTTTTGTATTACTGGTTTCCTAGGATAATTTTTTTGTATGGCTGGTGCATATTTTTATTAGTGCAACAAAAGAAATATTCTGGTAATAATCAGTAAGCAGCTATGTCTTTCAATTACTGTATGTAATTGTAAATCAAAGTTTGCAAGATTTTAAGTACCGGTATAAAGATCTTAGTACATGTAAGTACTGGATTTGATAAGTAAAAACAAGATTTTCTTAAGTTCACTTGAGCCAAAAGTTTGAATGAACATTTCTGATTAATTTATGTCTGGTATTCATTCATATGTGTCTGTTATGTGTAATCTGCACACTTATCAAAATTTTTTCTTCTCCCTAATCACTTGGCCAATTCACATAACTTTGCACAGACCACTTTCATAAGGAGTAAATTACAAAAGGAGATTATCTCAAACTCTGATATCTCCAATACTACTTGTATGTTGAAGTGATTTGAAAGTCCCAACAAGATTATCTTTATGTAAGTTATCCTCAATATCTCAAACCTTTGGATATCTCGAAGTTTTTTCTTGGTCTAATCAAGTTCGAGATAATGAGGTTTGATTGTAATTGATTAAATATATCTAAAAATGCAAGAGATCATTTACAAATCTTCTAAAATAAGAAGTAATATAAGTAATATATGTGAAAGGTTACTTCTGGAGTGTATGGGGTTAAGGTTATTCAAATCACAATTCATAAAGCTAGGGTAGGGATAATTTAAGGTGTCAAACTTGTACCAAGAATGTATTAGAAAAATCTTTATAAAACGACAACAGCAGGATTGCAATCAGTCAAATTGATACACAGTTAAGTGTAAATTTAAATTTACCCACCCCCTTCTTTCAAAAACAGATGAACCATAATTAGTTCAATTAAAATACATGAACCCTATGTAGTGTAGATTAGGGTTTCTTTAAATCATGGTCATAGGGACTAGAGTAAGGGCTCATTGAAGGACAAGGTTTTACAGAAATATATAGACTTCAATAAAAATGTCAGGGCTACAGTTTTCTTTAGACTTAACACCCAGCATCAATATACTCTAAATTAGAATTTAACTGGAATCCCTGAAATTATGGACATCAAGTTGATAGCCACAGTAATGTTTCAAATACCAGAGGTGAGGTTGTGGCCCATGGGTCTTTTTACTATGAATTTTCGAACATTCTCAAATTTCCTTAACAAAATTACTGCCAGAAAGATGAGGACTACTCTGTGTGGTTGCCATTAAATATGTATCTTTTTTATTTTAAAAATTGTTATCTTTTGCAAGGTTGTGTATTTTGTCTTATATATCTCAAGAAACATTTTTTTTATTCTTCAACAGAGCTTATAGTATATCAGTCATTAGAAATATTCAGTCATTTTGTTTTTGTCTAAGGTTCCATCTCATGAAAGCTTTATTCACACATACATTATTTGTGCAGCATTTTAGCATATTCATCTATAAAATATATGTCTGAATATATTTGAAGAATGTTTTAGATACTTAACCTTGAGTATCAGATGCTGATACGTGTTGGCCATGATACTGTATTGTAGGATGAACTCCTAAAGGAAGCCACTGCCAACGAAAACAAGGTGAGGGATTCCATCATAGATTACTGTAGTTGTTGTTTAGCAGGAATGAAATAATTCTCTCAAATTCCATTTACATTTCTACAAATTCTAGTGTTTTTGTGAATAATTAAGACTAATTAATCACATTTTATGTATATGTGAATTAATTGAGACCATCTTATTCATTTCAATGAAATCATCACTATAGCCAATACCCATCTGATGAAATAATGTAATAAATATAATGAACCTACATACATACAGTGTATATGGATTGCTGAAGGAGGGCTCAGGTGGGAGGGGGGTGGCCAAGTCATCAGAAAGATATATACTGATATTCCCATTTTCATGGCTAAATGTACATGAGGTTCATTGAATTGATATTTTCCTTTCATCCAGTGATCTTTTGAACTGGTCCTTAATTTGATCCGACATTGAATATTCTACATTTCAGGAGGAACCCTGGCACAATCCCATGGCCACCCTCTTACCAGGAAAAGAAAGAGAGACATGCATGTTCTTTTCTAAAACAGGGGCATGTAGATTTGGTGATAGGTACTAAGATTTATTATTAACTTGATACATTTTAAAGAACATGTAATTTTGATTCTATATGTATAATGTATATACAGTGTACATGTATATTGAATTTAAAAGGTCGTATTGTGTAGAATTATGCATTCTTGCTCATCTTCTTTACTTTTATGTAGTTTGAAACATCAAAATATAAATTTTCTGTCTTGTGGATCATGTGTTCTCATATGCATTGGTAAAAAGTTTAAATACTTTGTAACAAACCTGTGGGATTTTTTAGCTTACATAAACTGTGTATTACACAATTGTGAGCATGTACTAAGTCAAAATTAATATAGACTATATTTTGTCTTTTTTGGTATAAAGGATTCCATTATAATATATTACTTTGAGGAGAATGAAAATAAATGTTATTACCATAACAGGTTCTCTATTTACCCTGATTTTACTGTATAAATGTGGTCTTATTACAGGTGTTCTAGAGGACACCCTCAGCCTGAAATCAGCAATACCTTACTGTTTACCAACATGTACAATCATTTTGAGCTGGAGCAAGGACTGAAAGATGACCTTGACACTACGGGTAAGTTTTTCCAATGCATTTACAGATTAAATAAATCTATGACCAAGGTAGGATGGTTATGAGTATCGTGTTCCAGGGTGAACATATTGCTTTGAAACTATTTGTTTCATTAAATTCTTCAGAAGGCATTATTTTAAAAGCAAATTTGTCATTTCGATGTTGTGTTGATAAACATTATATTTTGTCCTTTTAGATGTGACCCTGGAATATGAAGAAGGAGAAATCTATCAAAACTTTCAAGAATTCTATAATGACATTGTTCCAGAATTTAGAAATTATGGAACAGTGATCCAAGTCAAAGTCTGCAACAATTACGAGCCCCATCTACGGGGCAATGTTTATGTGCAGTATAAAAGGTAGTACTGAAAGGTTGAACTATGAGCCCCCATCTACGGGGCAATGTTTATGTGCAATATAAAAGATAGTACTGGAATTCCAAGCTATAAGCCCCACCTACGGGACAATAATTATGTACAGTATAAAAGATACTATAAACATAGGGCCTGGGAAGGGGCCTTGGCATGCGCCATATGTGCATACTGCCAAAAAAAGGCACAAAGCAATAATGATGCACTGCACAATAAAAATCGGAACCGCCATTTAACATATTTGACATTCTCCTGGCAAGGAAAAGCTTTTCCTCCCACACTGTTCATTACAAGTCATTTTGGACAGCTAATCATAACATCACGAACTTAACTTTACAAAGGTCTTGCACATAGAAAATGTTACCTTACAATGTAATACCACATCATTCTACTTAACTTGACCTTTCCCTCAGTTTGGTAATCAGCTTTAAAAAAAAACTCCTTTGTGCTTCTAGTTTTAAAAAAAATTGTGAAATACTTCTGTGTTAGAATTATTTACTGTATGAAGTTCTTGGATATGGTAAAAAATCATCAAGTCAATGTTAGATATGATGATTTGTCAAATTCTATAGCATTTTTATTCTTCCTCTAAATTTTGTTGTTGAAAAAATACCGGATATGCTTTCTACTTCATCACTGTCAAGGTCAATACGGAACCACATGAGATAGTGCTAGCTTATCAGACCTCTGTGCACTTTCCATTATCAGTTACAACAAAAAGGTGAAAATAACAAACAGTGATCAAATCTCATGAATTAACTTTTTTTATACAGAATATTTTAAAAATGTCCCAATATATTTTCTCTAAGCGCCTCTAAGATTTCAAAATCGCCCTCTCATTTCATGAAAAATGGGGCCATTGTTTCTGCCCGGTCTTTGATCTTAGCCCCTTTTGCACTTCTTTTTGTCCACAAATTCAAGTACATGCTAATATATATGATTAAAGCATGTACATGAATTTATAGACATTCTTCTCCAAATGTGCTTACGCCTATCAAATTAATGATTATGTTCATCATCTGATAAGAAAGATAATGTTCAACTTTGAATATGCTAATTTAAGAACATTTACAGTATTACTAAAATATAGATGCAAAGGAAACTCATATTTATTTATTAACAAATAATCAAATTTTAATCATGTTGTGGTCTGTAAAGTGTGTTTACTAGAATCAAAGGTCATAACAAGTACATGTACATGTTGTATTTCTTAATTTTTCAGTGAAAACAGTGCACAGGAAGCTTTCATTAATCTGAATGGAAGATTTTATGGTGGGAAACAGATTTCTTGTCAATATGTTGATATTAAGAAGTGGAAATCTGCTATTTGTGGTAAGAACTGGACTATAGCATCCAAGGATTAATTTCCATTACTGCATAGTGATGATTCAAATTAATAGATACAGTAAAACTTTTTTTATAATAAACATATGGTTACAATGAACTACATGTAATATTTTTTCACCAAGTAGATAGAATTTTATGATCGTTTAAAATATTTATGCCATATTTAGAAAGTATTTAGATTAAACTTGCATTAAAACTCTCCATGTGGCATCCTTGAAGATGATACTTATAGCATTGAAACCCAGATGATACAATTGTTAACCAAGAACAAAGTATTCTTTTTCTTGCATCTGATGTTCAATTGTTTACAATATTGTGTTTTATCATGGTCATGTCCTAAAACCCCTCCCTTACAATAAATCCTTCAGCAGGGCCTTTGCTGACTGTTCTGATTTCAAGTTACAATTTCAAATTTGATAATTCTCAATGCTTGATTTTTACAGGGCTGTTTGGAAGTGGAAGATGCCCAAAAGGAAGAAACTGTAACTTTTTGCATGTGTTTAAAAATCCACGTAATGAGTTCTGGGATGCAGATATGGATGCTTTTCATAAGTCAAAGGAAAGTACAAGGTCAAGAAGGCACAGGTCAAGATCTAGGTCTCAATCAGATTGGCGCAGGTCAAGGTCAAGACGGGCATATAGGTCACGATCAAGATCTAATGAGAGAAATAGATATCATTCAAATGACCATCGATCTTCAAGGCACTCAAAATCTAGAAGCAGATCAAGAGAGAGGTCCAGTGTTAGGTCAAGGAGAGATAAACATAGGTCAAGGTCAAGAAGCAGATCACAAAGTAGATCAAAGGAAGAAAGACAGAGAAGATCACGCAGTGATTCAGAAGAACGATCAGGAACCAGGAGTAAAAGGACAAGAAAACAGGGAAATGATTCAAGGTCCAGATGCAGATCAGAAAGTAGGTCAAGGAAACAGAAAAAAAGAAAGAAAAGGTCCAGGTCAGGATCTCCACTTAACACTAATAGTCAAAACTCTGCAGCCCAGGAAGATAATAAAGAAATTTATGACAATCATAATTTTAAAGACAATACAAAAATTAATTCAGTTACAAATACTAATGGAATGGATTACAAGGATGTAAGCGACATTGCTAAGGACAGTGATTTTAAAGACACTACAGATACTTTCAAGAGTCTTTCACCAACATCCAGCTCTTTGGAGCATTCTATGAAAAAGAAACATAAAAAACACAAAAAACATAAACATAAGAAATCATCATACTCTGTTTCTGCAGATAGCGATTAAAGACTTCATAAATTTAAAAGTTTTCTTGCTCTTTTTATACCCTCTGTAAACAAAGTTTGGGGGGAGTATTTAGGAATCACCTTGTCTGTCTCTCTAGCTGTCTGTCTGTCCATCTGTAAGTTGCAGATCTTTAGCTTGTTGGTCTAAAAAAAATTGGGATGGATGACCTGAGAGCTACAGTGCCACCCATTGAAAAAATGTATATTTATTGTGCACAAAAAAGTTTCTCTGTATATTTAAACTGCGATTTCAAAATATTACTAACCGTGTGTTCCTGAGATATTCTTTCACTATTTCCAAATCAAAACATTTCGTATAACCATTGTTAATAGCCCTCCTCAGTTGAAATTGAGACCATCCAAAATTTCCTCTATTTATACTGCCATTTTAGGTGGCAAAAGATGACAGGATCTTGGAAACTGGCTATTCGACCTTACATGCTTCGTGCAGATGTCAACTACAGGAGTAGTTGATAAAGGTCTAAGGAATATTTTTTGAAATCAAGCTCTTCTGTAGTTGAAGTAAGAATTTGTTTAAATAAATCCAGAACCAAGTGCAACATTTTGTGTGCAATAAATATACAGTTTTTCTTATGGGTGGCACTGTAGCTCTCCTGTCTGTCAATATTTTTTTTTTTTGGAGAGCTACAGTTCTGCAGCTATCTGTCTGCCTGTCTGTCTATGCAAACATGTCCGGTCCACATCTTTCTTACAGAGAAACATTAGAATCTACTACTTCACACAAAGATTGTTCATGATCTGAATGTGTGTCATGTTCTTGACCCAAGGTCATTTTGGCAAGTTCAAGGTCACTGAAAGAAAAAATTCAGAATTCGTGTCCGGTTCATATCTTTCCGATGGATAAACTTGGTGGGTTTCCATTTTACAAAAGATTGCTTATGACCTGAGGGTGTGTCATGACCTTGATCCAAGGTCATTTGGGCAAGTTCAAGGTTTCCACTTCATACAAAGATTGCTTAATTAACCTGAGGGTGTGTCATGATCTTGACCTATAGTCACTGTAGAAAAAATGGATAAATAATGCATCCATACTTTACAATAGAGTAATCCTTGAAAAATTGTTATTTATTTTTTCAATGAAATAAAAAACAATATGATTATTAGTGTTTATGTTTTATTAGGCTACACCTTAGTTTAATTCATTAAAAAAAATATAATGAGCAGGTGCCAGTAAATTTTCACTCTAAATGTTTAAACAAATTGTGAACATGTACCTCTTAGATCCATCAAATACTAGGATTAGTGACTTGGCATCTTCTCTGAAAAACCCATTTGGGGGTATTTGTCCATTTTGGACAGATCTAGTGTTTCTTGAAAGGAGGGAGAGGGAGGTAGGCCGAGAATATAGAGAACCAATACATTACCTGGAACATATAAGGTGCAGATCAGTAAGCCCAGTATTTGCTGCACTTTTAATTTGTAATGAGTATGCAAGGGGATTTGACTTCTAATCTTTATAAGATTCACTTTACCAATGAAGGAATAGGATTATTTGAAAAATATAATACATGGTTACCCCCTTTTTTTCCTACAAAACAGTTAATTGAGTAAAAAGTATGGTTATCATTCACTCATTTATTGGTTTATTTATTTTTTAAGATGTAAACAATACTATCATTTATTGTCTAAAGTTAACTTTTATGGAATATTTTTAGCTTGCTTTCAAAGTCATGGTCATAGGAAAAGGGGGGGGGGTTCGCCAATAATTTTGCTGATATATAGAATACGTACTGAATAAAACAGATTAATTGCTACATGCTTGTGCCCCTCAATAAAAACCCCTGATGACCTTTTTTAAATTTTTTTTTGGGGGGGGGGGGCTTGTCAAGGAATTTTGGTAGATGATAGTGCGCACCCCCCCCCCAACTGAAAATGTATGCCCCCTCAAAGTGAAATTGCTTCGTACGGACCTGAAAGTAATAAGGTAGCTCTTATTTTTTAGTTATTAAATGGGATTTTCCCACCAAGTACTCAGAATTCTTATATGTCAGAATTTGAAATTAAATAAGATGATTAATTAATCAGGCTGTAACCTTGAAGGGTTACTTTTTACAAAGTGCACGCATGGAGACTTATAATAATAAAGCACATGTATAATTTAATGTGTAATTCTGATAAATTTACTCCATTATAAGGCAGATATGTAATCTCACAGTACCATGCATATGGTCTCTGACACTGCTCACAAATATGTGAGATTATCAAAGAAAGGGTTAATTTAATAAAATTAAAAGGTTAGAAAAAATAGCAAAAGAGTAGAAAAATTCATGCATAATTATGCCTTTAAACTATGCAAGACTTTTTTTTTTAATGAAAAATAAAAATATTGAGTTTAGAATGGAATCTTTCATTGCAATCTATTGCATAGAAGGGGTATATTTTCTGGCGATAGAAAAATATCCGGATTTTTCGTGATCTTTCTGCTTGGTCTTAGCAATTATAGCATGGACGATCACGTGATGATAACAAAATGGCAGCACAAATAACGTCGGGTCCCAATCAGGGGAATGTCAGAAAACCCGACCTATTTAGCAAGCTAGAGGGTTTTAATGATGATGTCAACATGGCTGTGTTTATCCCCCGGGAGGATGGGGTCATTACTGTCAGTGACGATAAGTAAGTGGGTGTATTTAAGTTCCGGAAGTCCTGAGTTCCAACAACAAAGTACCAAAGTTCGACGCCTCCTTCTTCAGCATCCGAATAAAACAAAAAGTCGGAGAATCGTTTTATTTTTGAAACTTTGAACGCATAACGAATAAGATGTTTAAAGGGCGTGTTTTAATTTGTCATGGTAATCAATATTGATGGAAGCGGAAAATCGATCAGCTGATTTATATTTACTTCTAATGACTCATTGTCATATACTGTAACCAAGTTTGCAAGAATAAAGGAAAGTCGGTCTTTAAGTACAAAAACTGTCAATTTTTGACAGGCGTGTTAAAAAATATAGTCTTTTGCCTGATACTGCATGATTTTTTTTTATAATAATGAGTTTATTCCCTGATAACTTGTAATTTTGCAAATAGGATCATTAGAGATTTATGAGGACCTTTTTCATCGGAGTCGTTATTTTAAGAGCAATATTGTCCATGACCCAGTTTTTATTATTAAATTGTCAGACATCTAAATTCAAAAGAGAGAGAGAGAAAAATATGATGGTAAAATAAATATAAAAGTTTAACTAAATCACCAAACCATTTATTCTTAAGCTATATACATATTTTTATCTGCTTCAGTTTGCTGTTAAAATGTAAATGTGGCCAGTATTTTTTTAAGTATGAAAAAGCTTCAGCATGCATTTTTAGGTCACCTGAGTCACTCAGGTGACCTATTGCTATCCGTTCTCGTCCGTCGGCGTGCGTCGTGCATCGTGTGTTAACATTTGAACATTTTTAGCTTCTTCTCTGAAACCGCTTAACCAATTTCAACCAAATATGGCATATAGCATCTATGGGTGAAGGGGAACAAAAATTGTTAATTTCATGGTCCCTGCCCCCCTGGGGCCTGAGGGGTGGGGCTAAAACCACCAAAAATAATGCTATCTTTAAAAATCTTCTTCTTTACTCCAGGACATCAAGCAGTCAAACTGTTGGCATCGTTGTAATAAGCAGTGAGCCCTCTACCAAAATTGTGAAATTCATGGCCCCAGGTTCAGGGGTTCTGGCCCCAGGGTGGGGCTATATAGATCATATAGTGAAAGTGCATTATTTCTTTGAAAATCTTCTTCTCTGCTCCTGGGTATTAAACAAAGTAACTAAGTACATAGTTATGATGAGCAAGAGTGCCTCTTCCAAAATTGTGAAATTCATGGCCCCAGGGTCAGGGGTTCTGGTGTTAGGGCGGGGCTCTATTGATTCTATAGTGAAAATGCATTAATTCTTTAAAAATCTTCTTCTGTGCTCCTGGGTATTAAATAAAGTAACTAAGTACATAGTTATGATGAGCAAGAGTGCCTCTTCCAAAATTGTGAAATTCATGGCCCCAGGGTCAGGGGTTCTGGCCCCAGGGTGGGGCTATATAGATCATATAGTGAAAGTGCATTATTTCTTTGAAAATCTTCTTCTCTGCTCCTGGGTATTAAATAAAGTAACTTACTAAGTACATAGTTATGATGAGCAAGAGTGCCTCTTCCAAAATTGTGAAATTCATGGGCCCAGGGTCAGGGGTTCTGGTGTTAGGGTGGGGCTCTATTGATTCTATAGTGAAAATGCATTAATTCTTTGAAAATCTTCTTCTGTGCTCCTGGGTATTAAATAAAGTAACTAAGTACATAGTTATGATGAGCAAGAGTGCCTCTTCCAAAATTGTGAAATTCATGGCCCCAGGGTCAGGGGTTCTGGTGTTAGGGTGGGGCTCTATTGATTATATAGTGAAAATACATTAATTCTTTGAAAATCTTCTTCTCTGCTCCTGGATATTAAATAAAGTAACTAATTACATAGTTATGATGAGCAAGAGTGCCTCTTCCGAAATTGTGGAATTCATGGCCCCTGGGTCAGGGGTTCTGGCCCCAGGGTGGGGCTATATAGATCATATAGTGAAAGTGCATTAATTCTTTGAAAATCTTCTTCTGTCCTCCTGGGTATTAAATAAAGTAACTAAGTACATAGGTATGAAGAGCAAGAGTGCCTCTTCCAAAATTGTGAAATTCATGGCCCCAGGGTCAGGGATTCTGGTGTAAGGGCAGGGCTCTATTGATTATATAATGAAAATGCATTAATTCTTTGAAAATCTTCTTCTGTGCTCCTGGGTATTAAATAAAGTAACTAATTACATAGTTATGATGAGCAAGAGTGCCTCTTCCAAAATTGTGAAATTCATGGCCCCAGGGTGGGGCTATATAGATCATATAGTGAAAGTGCATTATTTCTTTGAAAATCTTCTTCTCTGCTCCTGGGTATTAAATAAAGTAACTAAGTACATAGTTATGATGAGCAAGAGTGCCTCTTCCAAAATTGTGAAATTCATGGCACCAGGGTCAGGGGTTCTGGTGTTAGGGTGGGGCTCTATTGATTATATAGTGAAAATACATTAATTCTTTGAAAATCTTCTTCTGTGCTCCTGGGTATTAAATAAAGTAACTAATTACATAGTTATGATGAGCAAGAGTGCCTCTTCCAAAATTGTGAAATTCATGGCCCCAGGGTTGGGCTATATAGATCATATAGTGAAAGTGCATTATTTCTTTGAAAATCTTCTTCTCTGCTCCTGGGTATTAAATAAAGTAACTGAGTACATAGTTATGATGAGCAAGAGTGCCTCTTCCAAAATTGTGAAATTCATGGCACCAGGGTCAGGGGTTCTGGTGTTAGGGTGGGGCTCTATTGATTATATAGTGAAAATACATTAATTCTTTGAAAATCTTCTTCTGTGCTTCTGGGTATTAAAGTAACTAATTACATAGTTATGATGAGCAAGAGAGCCTCTTCAAAAATTGTGAAATTCATGGCCCCAGGGTCAGGGGTTCTGGCCCCAGGGTTGGGCTATATAGATCATATAGTGAAAGTGCATTATTTCTTTGAAAATCTTCTTCTGTGCTCCTGGGTATTAAATAAAGTAACTAAGTACATAGTTATGATGAGCAAGAGTGCCTCTTCCAAAATTGTGAAATTCATGACCTCAGGGTCAGGGGTTCTGGTGTTAGGGTGGGGCTCTATTGATTATATAGTGAAAATGCATTGATTCTCTGAAAATCTTCTTCTCTGCTACTGGAGATAATTTAAACAAACTAAGTGCATGATTATGATAGGCAAGGATGCCTCTTCCAAAATTTTCAAATATATGGCCTCAGTTTTTGGGGTTCTTGAGGAAGGGGGGGGGGGGGGGCTCTATTGATTATATAGTGAAAAAGCATTAATTCTATTAATCATTAATTCCTGTCTGCTCCTTAGCATTGAGCTGATAAATAAATTGCTTAGCTATGATGAAAATGTGAGCTTCGAACAGAATTTTTAAATCTTGTGGTCCTAGGGTCAGGGGTTCTGGCATAACTGGGGGGGGGGGGGGGGGGCTTTTGATAATATAGTGGAAAAGTGTTAATTCTTTGAAGTCCTTAGGTATGATGATGAGGGTAACTCTTCCAAATTTGTAAATTTCTTGACCCTTGGTCTTGGGTTCTGGTGTTAGGGTAAGGCTTTGTTGAATCTGTAGTGAAAATGCGTTGTACCTGTGAAATTCTTCTCTGCTTCTGGGCATATTGGAAGAAAACTGAGTAAAAGTTTAAATGATATAAGTAAGCATATTTCTACCAGATTTTTGAACATCTGGACCATTTGTCTAAGCATTCTAGTCCTGGGCAGGGCTCTATTAATTTGTATTCTACTGAGAGAAGTTATTCCCCTTTTCCATTCACCTTTGATAATTAATCACTGTAAATAATGTATTTGAAAGGTTAATAGAATAAGATAATTATGCAAGAATGTTTATCATATAATTCAAAAAGTATTTTCTTAGTTTTAATAATCAGGTTGACCTGTAAGTAATAGATAAATAAAAATGAGACAAAAATAACTTATCTTATTGAAAGTTCTTCAAAGACCATAAGAGAGGTCAATGCTAGAGCTCTTAATATGGGTTTAAAAATAGTACTGAAGCACTAATAGTTTAACTTCTAAATTGTTGTATTATACTCAGGTGACCGTTAAGGCCCTTGGGCCTCTTGTATTTCTTCATTTGCTCCTATATGAATGTGTAATATCATTTGTATTTATTTTAAAGAACTTTAAGAGTTTGGTTAAAGCGTGACACAGGACAATATTGGCCAAGTATATGCCACACATTGCCATGTAAGTAAATGATTATCTTTTGATCTGTTTTCATCTGAATGGTAAACTGGAACTGTTTTGAGATCCCTGAAATTTTTTGTCTTGTCACTTAGAACTATTTCTGCATACTCACATGTACTTTTTTTTAGCACAAGCTGCATCCTTAGCTTACAATGAGGAAACTAGAAGAACATTTATTGGTTTGGACAATGGTACAATATCAGTAAGTTAATATGTTTTCTCAAGTTCAATCTGATGTTCAAGCTATTCAGCAAATTAATGTTTTCAGTACATTTTTATATTAGTCTATGTCGTTTATTTTCTAGGAATTTAACCTCGCTGAGGATTTTAACAGAATGTCTCAAACAAGGGATTACTTAGGTAAGTGGTAAAATAATAAATATTTTTAATTATAAAAAGTAAGGACATCTTATCCTCATTATTTCTGTGCTTAGCCACTATTATGTTTATCATTGAATTTATTTTATATACATGTACTTCTTTAGAAGGAGAATTAATTGATGTATGTACTTGTGTCCTGAATTAATCTTTAAGAATTTTAATGAAATAAAAATTGGTTTCAGCCCATCAAGGCAGAGTGACATCACTGAAATTTTCTTTGAATTGTGAGTGGGTACTTAGTTGTGCCAGAGACAAGTATTTCCAGTGGCACTGTTCCGAAACAGGGCGGCGCCTTGGTGGCTACCAGGCCTCCGCATGGTGTCTATGTCTAGAGTATCCTTTGATACACATATAACCAGATAACCAATATGTTTACAGTTAGCATTATGCACAGTTAATAATTGTACAAGAGTTTTATTTTTTGATATTTTTATGTTCATGAAGTGTTTTTTGTAATCTGAAATATTTATTCCCGATTTTGTCATCTAAAATTTTAAGCATGTAATTACGAGAATAAAATCTGAGAGCCCATTCCTTTTCATACATTACTTTTTATTTTGTGAAGTAAGAATGACAGTTATTATCATATAGAATTGTTTTCTACATTTATATACATTAACTTTGAGGTATCAATTGGAATGTTTGTACACATGGTGAAAGAAGGTTTAGATGTTTGATAGAACAATCTTTAACCAATTCTAACAGATTTGATGAACAATCTAAATATGTGTTTGTGGGGGACTATTCTGGACAGATTTCTGTATTAAGGATTAGCAATACTGAATTTTCTTTAATTGTCACCTTGAAAGGTCACTCAGGTAGGAACTTGAATTCTGAACCAAAATGCTTATAGAAAGATAAATAAAAAGTACAGTAAAACACACTTATACCAGGTGTGCTTATAATGAATTGATGCTTATCTTTCATTCCCTGTGGCTTTGAAATATATTGTGAACTTAATGAATATAACGAATTACATTTATAATGAAGCAAAATTGTTTGTCCCTTGATTTTCGTTATAAGCATGTTTTACTGTAAATGTACATATTTTTCATTAAGACTGAGACCGTCTTTTAACAGCTTTGTAACAGATTAAAAAATCATGATTTTGCTGAAACGCATGCTTTGAAATGCTTTTGGTAGAATATTTGTATTTGAATTTTTTAATAAAGCTTTAAGCTTTCATACACATGTATGTTAGGTAGGAAAATGCAAGTACATTAATCTTATACATATGTTTATTGTTGTTGTTCTGGCAGGAAGTGTGCGTAGTCTAGCTTGGGATGCTGAACGAAGCTTATTGTTCTCTGGAAGTTTTGACGAGTCAGTGATTGTATGGGACATAGGCAGTAAGCAAGGCACAGCATTTGAACTACAAGGACACCAGTAAGATTAATTAACTAATCATAAAAACACTGGTCTGAAAGTACATAAATATAGATGCCCTTATGGTATAGAATGAAAATGTTTACTGGCTTTGATAATTTTTGGTTTTCATAAATATGTAGGGAGTAACTTTGCTGTATGAAGTTCTTTATTTTCTTTAGCGACAAGGTACAAGCATTGGCGTATGCTTCTGGTAGTAAACAACTTTTATCTGGATCTGATGATGCCATTCTCGGTATCTGGAATATGGATGTAAAAAGGACAGAGGTATTGAAATATTGACATTTACTAAAAAAAAAATGGAGAGAAAATGCTCACAAAGCTGTGAAGCCTCTTCCTGCTGTATATTTATGTATAAGAATTAATGTGGGTAAACAAGCAATAAGTTAAGGCTATTCTTTTCATAAAGAAGTAAGGCATAAGTTCTCTCCATAAATCCAAGCATTATGATGATGTTTTTTTAAATTAAATTTAAGTACCAATTTTTTTTTAAATTTATAGACACCATCATGGGAAGAAAGTGATGTGTGCCAAAAATGCAACTCTCCTTTCTTCTGGAACTTTCGACGGATGTGGGAGGAGAAAACTATTGGTATAAGACAGGTAAAAAGTATATATAATAGATATAGGGGAACAATAATTCAAAAGTGACCACAGATGTGAGGCCCGCAGCCTAATATTCCATCTTTGTCTTCTTACTGTACATTATGATTTTCAAACGATTGGAAGAGTTAGGTTGCATTCATTTTGATTACATACCATTTTGGGGTTCTTTGCAATCAGCATATTGGTAATGCACAGGCTTGTATCTTGGAATACAGTGATTGGGAAGGCCATAAAGGTCAAAGGGACTATGGCGCAACTGTCAAAGTATTTAATGGGCCATTTTGAAAATGAATGAGTCATCTATATGTTCTGATGGGCCATTTCAAGAAAAAATAAAATGACAAACAAAATGTGAAATAGGAAAGCAAACACGTTTCTTTATTAACCAAATCTTATTTTTCACGTATGGAGTGTTGCACATTTAATGGAACCCGCAAACAATATAATTTTCTCATATTTCTCGGACCAATAACGTCAAAATCTCATTTAAACATGGGAAATGAGTGAGGTAATGTACCTTTGATGTCCTAAATAAAGCGCTTCATGTAACAGGAAGCAGTTTTTGCTGGGTTTTAACCAATGAGATTTGTTGTATTAAAATGACTGCATTTAAAACGAAAGTAAAACAAGCAAGAAAGTCGTACGCAATATATTTCCAACTAACATCGCTAAAATTTGAATGCGCACCTTGGCGCCACCAATGGTTGATTTAATGCGCCAATTTTCACTTTAATGCGACTGGTGCGTGGCGCAAGCCCTTCCCAATCACTGGGAATATGTACATATATCTTAATTCTGATCAATTCTTCTTTCAGCATCACTGTAGAAAATGTGGTAAAGCCGTGTGTAACAAATGTAGTGCCAAAAAATCCACGATACCCCCGCTGGGATACGAGTATGAAGTTCGTGTGTGTGACGACTGCTTCTCCTCCATTAGTGAAGAAGAGTAAGGAATTACAGGGATTAACTGTGTTCATTATTGATTAATCTGACCAAGAAAATCTTTCAGCTGCCAGTAAAGATAGCAAATGTAAAAATATATACTGTAGATCACTTATTATTCCTGAGAACTTTATGTCTGGGTAAATACACAAGACCAGGTGTTCCTGAAAATTTCATTCTAGCATATAGATGTATTATTAAAGATTCTAAAGAACAAGAATCAGAATTTGTGAAACTTTTGTTTCGCTCATAAATGTGACATATTACTAACTCACAAAAATAAGATTTTGCAAACAATTGGTGATTTACAGTATACTGTAATAGTATATATTTGATAATGGAAAAAAATGTTTGGCTGAATATGAAACATTTAATCACTGACCTAAGAATAGAGACTTAATTCTGACGTGAAGCATGTTCAGCTGATGTCAGATCTTGTTCTTTTTTAGAAAAGCTCCTCTGGCAACTTTTCATGATGTCAGACATCAAATTCTGTACATGAATTTAGATCAAACTCGAAAGAGACTTTTGACTGTGGGAAGAGACAGAGTTGTAAAGGTAAATTTTTGTTGCAAAATTATTTTCAGTTGAATCCCATTTATCATTCTGTGTGTGGAGTCTTCATAGTTTCAATTGTATTACTTAGTATCTTGAAATTGAAACCAAAATTTACACTTAATTTTATTGCAACACAATGTAAGAGTATGTTGATGAGGACCTTATTTATTTTTTTTTTTTTACAGCTATGGGATGTCAGCACTGTATTACATTGAATGTTTGCCTTTGTGGACACTGTGTAGTTATTTTATGACATTTGCACCAGGAGTTTGACTTATATTATGTGTTGATTCAAAGAACTGACAATGTGTGTGTTTGGAGCCATTAGTTAATATGGCTTCTGTACCAAATTGTTGTCCAGTACAGTTATTTATGCTAAACTGCCATACTGGAAGATGTGCAATACTCATGTTTGGGCCTTGTTATTGTAATGATGAAAAAAAAATTATTAACCAATAGACTTATTGTTGTCCATTCGCTGCAGGACAGTGATGTATGTATTGAACAACCAATAGAATTTCTTCATTCATTTAGATGTAAAGTCAAAGCGTGAGACACCAAAAATAGCATTTATGGATTATTATGTAGTCACTAGAGCTGAGGCAGCATGACAAAGCTGCTGTTTCATTGGACTTTATGCACACCATTTATTCAGCTGAATGGGACCAGGGAAAACGAATGTCATGAAAAGTGTATCAGTTGTTTTATAACCATGTTTTAAATAAAGTCTGCTGCATACTATAAAACAAAGTCATAATCATTTGCAGTGTACATGTTTTGTTCGTTTGTCAGTCATTGCTTTTTGATTATGAGGGTTGTAGGATAAGAGCAAGACTGGTATTTATTTATTGTACCTGGATGCATTGTTGAAAAGTATAGCAAAATAAGGTAAGGACATATTTAGCTCACCTCAACGAAGTGGGGGAGCTTATGTAATACCCTCGGCGTCAGCGTCCCAGGTTAAGGTTTTTGGAGCAGTTTTCTTTTCAAGTACTTCTATGGCCTATATTAGTCAGAGATGCATGGAGGATGCTTCTAGTGTGTTTCATTGTACCAGTCAAGGTTTCAGATGCTGCAATTTCAGCTAAAGAATGACCAGGTTAATGTTTTTGAAGCAGGTTAAAGTTTTTGGAGCAGGTTAAAGTTTTTGGAGCAGGTCTCATTTCCAAGTAACTATAAGCCTTATATCGACCAAACTTGCATGGATGATACAGCTAAGGATGCACACTACTGAACTTGCTTTGGATGCTGGATCTGACCTACATTTTCCGGATGAGTGACTAGATTAAAGTTTTAGAGTAGATCTCATTTCCAAGTAACTATAAGCCCTATATTGACCAAACTTGCATGGATGATACATCTAAGGATGCACACTACTGGACTTGCTTTGGATGCTGGATCTGACCTATATTTTCTGGATGAGTGACCAGGTTAAGGTTTTTGGAGCAGATCTCATTTCCAAGAAACTAAAAGCCCTATATTGACCAAACTTGCATGGATGATACATCTAAGGATGCTCACTACTGGACTTGCTTCGGATGCTGAATATGACCTATATTTTCCGGATGAGTGACCAGGCTAAGGTTTTTGGAGCAGATGTCATTTCCAAGTGTCTATAAACCCTATATTGACCAAACTTGCATGGATGATACATCTAAGGATGCACACAACTGACTTGCTTCGGATGCTGGATCTGACCTATATTTTCCAGATGAGTAACCAGGTTAAAGTTTTTGGAGCAGATCTCATTTCCAAGTATCTATAAGCCCTATATTGACTACAATTGCATGGATGATACATCTAAGGATGCACACTACTGAACTTGCTTCGGATGCTGGATCTGACCTACATTTTCCGGATGAGTAACCAGATTAAAGTTTTTGGAGCAGATCTCATTTCCAAGTAACTATAAGGCCTATCTGAACCAAACTTGCATGGATGATGCATCAAGGGACGAACAATCTCAAAACTTGCTTCGGATGCTGGATTTGACTTGCATTTTTCTGGATGAGTGACTAGTTTTAAGTTTTCAGATAAGTCTATTCCCAAGTAACTGCAAGCCCTATCAGACCAAAATTGCATAAATGTTGCATGTAGGGATGCGCACTCCTAGATTATTAGTTTAGTGTGGGACTTTGCCTTACTTAAAGACAACATTCGTTGAGGTGAGCTCTGTAATCTCTGATTACCTATGTTTGTATTCCTGGTGAGAATTTATTTTTCTTAAAATTCTACTCTTGCTTTATATTGTCACTTGTAAATAAGTTCATATAAGTGTTTGTTGTGCCATATATACAGGTACTTTTTTGAAGTATTACAAAATAAATTAAATTTCGAAAAAAAAATTCTAAATATTGAGAATGTTAAGAAAAGCTCCAGTTAAATATGCATTATTGGAGAATTAGTATGTTTATTGCTACTGCGATTATAATTTTCCTTATAGGTATTGCAAAATAAAAAATTACTTGAAATAAGTAAAATATATTTTGAATGATTTTGATATGCTGTTCAAGAAGCTCATGAATTAAGTAGGTGATACACAGGGAAAAATGGCTCACATGATATGCCTGAGATTTTTTTTTTTAAATTGTGTGAAAATCATGTAAAAATTATAAATATTTTTCATGCGAATATCATGTAAATTGGTATGTATGGTATTCACATAATTTTTTTTAGAAATTTCATGTGAATTTTTCTTTGCACCATATTTATGCAATATGCTCTTGTTGTAAAATTCATATGAAAATTATGTCAAAATCCCATGAAGTTTTCAAATAAATTTCACGTGTCTTGTTTTTCGTCTCTTTCTCACGCAAAGAATTCACATGAAATTTATGTGAATTTGATATAAATTTTATGCAAGCCACTTTTGCCTGTGTAAGTGTGTTTGACCCATTTAAAGAAATACACACAGATCATATCTCGCATCCTTTTCAATTTTTTAAAAAAAGGTGTTTTATTGTTTAATTCCTTTTTTTTCTCTGCTGAAATATTGCCGACTCGGTGTTAAACCCTAATCAATCAACCTATCCAATTTTAAATGTATTATGGGTCATTACTTCAAATTTGATTTAAGTTTTAAAGATTTTCAATGTTTTACATTTAAGCGGATTGACAGGACGTTTAAGAGAGAAAAAATTGATTTTTGCGGAAAATTTCTAGGACATTTTAGTAAAGTAAAATATTATGTCTTTTCCTTTAGTCAGACGAAGTCTGTTGCCCCCAGCTCCCAAACGGGGAGGTGGAAGTATGGGGTTTTGAACAGGATAATGTTCATTTAAATACAGTTGATGTCTAAAACACTAGCACTATAATTGAAATATCAATTCAGCAGTATAGAGTATCTTCAGGAAAGAGCATCGGATTTAAGTATTCTATCAATTCTGTGTCGAAATTCTTCACAAATGATATTCCTTTCCCTTGATTCGTTTCTATCGCTAACAGTACATATACTGAAATTTCTGTTGAGCTTCCGTTGGAACTTGGCAATTATTTGGTCTATTTTTCCTGACATTACATTGATTGTGAAAAAATCCGCTACAATATCCGTTTAATTTTTTAAACTGTTAACAGATTTTTCTTTCGCTAAAATGTCCTTTAAATTTTCCGCTTATATGTCAATTCACATCTTTTAATGTCTTTCCTCCTAGATTTTAAGCCTTGTGTTTTGTAAAATATATTTGATAATGATGATACCGTTTCTTGAATTTTAATTTGAGGCAAAACAGACAGCCTGCTACTATGTGCGTTGAATACTTTGATTTAAGTTTAAAAAAATTAAGAAATCTGAAAATGTTTAAATTTGCAGGATAGATGACAGTATGCTCACAGAGTAAATCATGTTTTACTTTTGACTATAAAAATATGTGAAAAATTAGTGATATTATATAGCAACTTAAGTAGTAGTCTGTGAGTTTGCAGGGGAAAGCGTATCACTTTGATAGCAAAGATGATTTAGGCAATCAGAAGTTAAAAACATATTCACTATTCGAAGAGCGAACTGTATTTTGATGATTGCCGACTATTTAAGGGTAACACCCACCTTCACCCACCCCCCCCCCCCCACATACACACACACACACAACACATACACAAATAATGAAACAACAAAATTTCATCACACAATCTTATATCTGCTTCTACAATTTCTATCAGTAAATTTCTATCATTAAATTTAGTATTTCGTTGAAGGAAAAAGAGGTAAAACATTCACCTAATGTGTTTTTCAAAGGAAAAAAAAAACTTTTACCAATCAGCACTGAATGTCAGTGAATTCGCAGAATTTCGAATTGCCATGCACAAGTTAGGGTAAAATATTAATTTTTAAAGTTAATGTGTGACATCACTACGATCAGATGACCCGAATTTTGTGTGCAAGATTTCATTTCACAGTTTCCTGTGCTTCCAGAAAAAAAAAGTTCGACAAGCATGTTACATGTAGTTCTTGGTGTATGTTCTTACTTTGTCAACCTCTCCTCATTTGAAGTCTTTTTCAAAAGTCTTGATGGTTTATGAACGCTTTTTTATCAGTACATGTATCTCTTGCATCAGTGATCTAAGCTATTAATAAGATTCATTACATGCACCTTACATCATCTTGGCTGGCCCGTATATTGTCAACTCATCCGGTGATACGAAGCATATTTTTGAAACATGAGATGAAATTTACATAAGATTAAAACAATTTCATGATGAAAACTTCCTTTTTGTTTTATTTGTTTCTGCATCTCATTCCGTCTTCTCATGTCGCTAATATAAATATATTAAAGGATTTTTTGAAATCAAAGTTCGAATTTATGCTATCAGAAAATCGTTTTCTGATAGCAAAAAATAACTTTATATTGAAATGACCCCCACAGCAATGGGATGATGTTTTAAAAGAAGTGTGATTAATTGAAAATGGTGAATACTGAAAAAATAATGATAGTAAAAATCTGTAAAATGAATCATCAAATAATCCACCAATTTCATATCAAACCTAATCATTCCATGTGGACAAAAACTACTTCGCTATCTCTTTCATTCCTGGGACTTTTCGATACAAGAACTGAGAAATAAAAACAACAAATAAGAAATTTTTTTGCAAAGATATTGTTCATATTTTAACTCCTCATTGATTTGATGGGTACCTGATGAAACTGTGAAGTTTTGCATAAAATATATATTTTTTAGATTGGGTACATGTATAAAAATATTTTTCCATGCAAGTTTGCAAGCAAACTTAACACTCTCTGTTCTACCAAGATGTAGAATTCTCGCCGATGTTACATGTAAATCATGGAATTAATTACTCAAGTGTTTATAATAGCCTCTAGCTCTTGTTATCGATATTTCACAGAAAACAAGAAATATTTCTTAAATTAGCATACATCTGAATTTCAATACAAATGATTACTACAGAACAATTTTTATGGAGTGATTTAAATTTTTGATAATCGATACACACTAATCTCCTATATTAAGATGTTTCATTGTCGTACACATGTATATAAATACATATCATAAACATGGATACACCTGACAAATATCTGACAGATACGCGTTATCACTTCGCGAGTCATGTGAGGAAGGTGAACTCATCCGGGTAGTGATTTCCCTTGCAGCATAACCTTAAAATCGAGAAGATCTGAAAAAAAATCATGTCTAAGATATGGACTTCTGTTTTCTTATTGGGGATTGCATTATCGACCTGTAAGTATAATATAAAAAGAAATAGAAATATTTACATGTATATGAAGCAAGGTATAGGAAGTTCAAAGTTTCATTACAGTGTAAGTCGAATGATATGATAAAACTTACTTGCATATTTAATATTTTATCTTCAAAATAAAGTAATGAATTTGTTTTGCATTTTGCAGCCTCAGCCATTGTGAATTTTCAGTACCCAAGCAGTAACCCATGCATAATCTTTGATGCTTCTCTACAAATAAGTATTGTAGGAGTGTTTAAGCCAAATCCACAGGTAAATCACAAAACACAATTTAAAAATATTGTGTATAATTGTGTATCAAAATTCATGGAAAAATGAAATCTTATTACAAACTATCCCTGTTTGCGAAGCTATATATTCTTTTTACGTAGGAAAACAATGAACAAGAGATGTTCAATTGTTTCATTGTCTCGTTTGCAAGGAAACGTAACTTGTTGGGATAATCATATGCAAAATCTGAAACTGTGCTTTTTAGACTATATTTTTTTTTAGATTCAATCCCCATTCAAATACGCAAAGATATTTATAGAAAGGATTACAAAGTACACCTAACATTACCAGCACTTCAGTTTCTACAACGAATTACTGTTGGGCTTAACATTTTTATTGTGTAAAATTCAAAAATAAACTTTTAAAAAATAATCTAAGAAATTTTGCAGTAATTAAAACTTCACTTTTAAAACTATTGATCTATAATTAAGTTACATTTTCTTTCACAAAATTATGTGGTTTGGCCAAACAAAAAGTGTTTAATTAAACAGAATAACTTCTTTAGTCAGAGAGGCATCTATTTAAGCTAAGATATATGAATTTCAGAAGAAAAAAATGTTATTTATCTTTAATATGCTTCTTCATATGATTTTTCAAAGGAAGTTCAGATATTTTGCGCCAGTGTATATACTGAAAAAATCCCCCAAAACTCCATTGTTTTTCCAATTTACCAGTTCCCGAATTCTCACTATGAATTAAAGTCCAGGCTTTTTGACATTATAAACAACTGCTTTTTCAATAAAAATGGAACTCATTAATTTACTTACATTGTCATTGGTAATTTGCAAAATTATTTTGTTAAAAAACATTCTGATGATACATACAAGTACTCTAAGTAGATCTCAAAAAGATGTTTGGGTTTCTGATTGACAGTATCTATGAAGTTTTTGGAGACCCAGTCTTCTAACAATTTGTCTGAACTACCATGACTGTGTACCAATTGCGCCCTGTTATTAGCCCTATTTTTGTATTCATATGAAGCAGAATTTATTTTTTAAAAATTATACATGAGAAAAAGAAGACACTTTCTGTGGCCTTCAAAGTGACATTAAGATATATAGAGATGACGTATTATCAATTAACGATAGTTACTTGCATTCATATGTCGATATATCCCAGTGAACTTGAAATAAAAGATACCACAGAGTCTGAAACATCTTTTTCATATTTGGATATTTTACTAGAAAAAGACGTTAATGGAAACCTAACAACAAAACTTAATGATAAAAGTGATGACTTCAACTTTTCTATCCTCAACTTTCCTTGCTTATGTAGCAATATACCCTTATCATCTGCATATGGGGTTAACATCTCCCAGTAGATACGTACAATTTCTAAAACGAGGCAAGCTATTGACAAACAAGTTGATGAAACAAGGATATCAACAGTCTCGTTTGAGGTCATCATTTCGCAAGTTCTATGGTCGATACAATGAGCTTGTCAGCAAATGCAGTCTATCATTAAGTCGAATGCCTACTGACATTTTCATATTAATTGTTAGGCAATTATTTAAACACTGAATTGTCTACGGATTTTTCCGTTTGCCTGATCATGACAAGGAGCACACGACAAGTGTGACCGGTCGAGAGGGGATGATTATTCCTCCATGGTACCTTTTCTACCTCTAATGTTTTTTAGAGGTCAGTGTTTGCTCTTCTTCTGATTGGTATTGTTTCAATGGACTTTTGAGCTTGATTACTGTTCGTTATCTCCATCTTTTATTCCAGGTTTTACCAGGTTGTTGAGAACACAGGGACTTGAGACAATCTTAGCAAAATCGGGTATATAGTATAATAGGGAAGAAGGGACTTAACGAGCCGACATTAATTCCTCGGTGCCTCTCTTCAAACTCTAACAACTTCGATTTTTATTAAAAAAAAAAACATGAAAAAGTTTTGCCAGTAGAAAGGCAGAATGTTGATTGTCATAAATTGATCATTTACCTAACTTCATTAAAACTTAGAAAAAAATATTCGAACTTCCGAGAATTAGGTCGCCCTACGCCATTTTTTCCATGCAATTTTCGTGCATTACCTTAATTTTTCCGCACTTGTCATCTGTTGCACTCTATCTAAGAGCAACGTTTAAAAATATAACTGCTTTTGGTCATCCACACAATATTTGAGGGACCGTTGATCGTCCGTCTCGAGAGATCAGCTCCATTTTCACCTTCGATTAGCCTCAGAGTTCCAGACCTGTTTACTTTTACGATTTCGCCGTATTTTGTACGGATTTTTGTCCAAAATACGTCTCACGTTTTGCTATAATGAAAGTACGGAAATCGGAAAATCCTTTCATTTGGATTTTAGCAGCTAGTTTTCGTTCTGATGTCTCAGTTTGAGGCTTTTTAATCGCTAAAAAAGAAAATTTTCTAACACTTCCGTGATTTCGGGTGGCCAAAAGGCAGTGGTTTAAAAATGACAGAAAGCAAGGTATAACTTTTTCTTTGTTATTAGACCATATTTATTTTTGTTAATCAGAAATGTAGTTTTCTCTAGTAATATATGTACAATCGATGAAAAGTGAAATCTTACGGGGAAATGCCAAATCTCACTGACAAATCTAATAAAAAATACTGAGAGACAACAATATGGGTAAATAGGTCTGGAGTTCAATCGGGTCAGCCATTATACTATATACCCAATTTTGCTAATATTGTCTCAAGTCCCTATGGTTGAGAAGGTGTGCCATGTCGATGCCAATATGTGACCCCAAACTTCGAATTAATTAAAAGAGACAACCCCCAACCCCCCAACCTCCCGCTTTTCTGGTATTATTTCTTTGATTAAAATGTTGTCTTATCCCGAATTTTGTCTATTCAGGCCAATTTTTATAGAAGCAATGGTGTCCGGTTTATACAAATTTTCCTGTATAGGTTCAGACTGTTCGGATCAGCTCTGATACTACGTACCGTAGCTTGATCCCCGTTTAATAAATATATATATAAAAATGGAGTAATACACTTTTTTAATCTTCAGCTGAAACAGAACAATTTGTATTATCCTCCAACTGTTTATGAAACATTGTTAACGTTTCCATGGCATAGAATATAATTAAACTAGTATTCTTTTTTTTTTTTTTAATTTTCACATTTCATGTGAAACAGGTAAAACAGGTGTCGCTGGACAATAAAGCAGTGGTACTGAATTCCACGGCCAGTTATTGTGATAATGGTAACTCCTCCAGTCTTGATTTCTTCATGGAGGGAGGGGTGGGCTTCACAGTGACTTTCCTAAAACAAAACGACACGGTTAAAATGATGCCGTCCATCACTTTTGTCCCGGCCATCATCTTCAACAGCTTTTCAAATGACACTAGTAAGATATCATTCCAGGAATTACATGTATATTTGAAGTTTGTTTTACAGCCCTGCAGTACATATCAAAGAACACTTAAGACGTATATTCATATTGAAAGCATACATGTATGTTTTACATGTACTCAAATGATTCTGTTCATATTATAATAAAACCATTGCAACCCACAAAATCAACAAAATGTAATATTTAAATTAAATACCCAGTTAATACTTATCATGAGGAATTAATTCGTAGCAAAAATTTTAAAACATCATTTCAACGATGTGTAAGTCCTTTCAAGAAAATTGATTTAACCTCTATTTTAAAGCTATTTTGTCGTAGGAGAAGAGATCTATATAAACAAACAACCACCAAGATACTAAACACATGTATCACACAAATGGTTTACAATTCATCTCTCACCATTGCCCTCTCATAAAACAACTTATTTTACACAAATATCGAATATTTTTTTCATCTTTGTTTAATTTGATAAGCTGCTTTTCGAACTTCAGGTCAGGTGGCCTTAAAGGGAACCAAAGGCAAGCTCCTCCCACCCTCTAACGTGTCATACTCCTGCTTTACTGGAGACACGCCCATTGTGATGACGAACGGGAGTAGTGCTGGTGTCTCCTATCATGCCATCATATCGATCACAGAATTACAGGTGCAGGCCTTTGACATCGAAAACGGAAAACTCGGTCCTGGTTTGTATGATTTGTATAACTGCAATTTTATTTACGTTTCAATTTTATACAAAGTTGGTTCAAATGCTTCGAAAAGTAAGAAACGATTACTAAAACACATTATATATACAGTACAATACTGAAATAAAATTTGCCAAATATTTGTTGAAATTATAATTGAAGCTATCATGTTTAGTTATAAATGCAAATTCGATACGGCCAATCACAAATTTTGAAAAAGGGGACATGGAGAATTCGTAATATTAAAAGTGTTTGCTTATTTCAAGTATTTCTGGTGAATTTAATTGTTGAATTGATAATGGCATCAAAATTATTTATTTGTATTTTTCAAAGTACATGTATTTGATCTGATCTATGAGTTGCTTTAACTCACTAAATCAAAGACCATTGTGTACTCGAAATTAAAATTTATTATACTTTTGATGCACTATAGAATTTTATCTTATATACATAATTATGTACGCACGCAGTATTTTAAATAAATAAACAAATCGAAAAATATTTCCCTGCAAACGAATTATAAAGCATTTATCCCACCTTCAGTGTAAATCTTTGTACCCGTAAACCCTTTCTTTCAAATATGAATCCTTCATGTTTTTTTGTGTCAAATATAAACCAGATGGAATAACGGACGGGTAAGATGATTTATATACACCCCATAAAGGCTGTTAAAATGTTTCTTTTTTTTCAGGAGAGAGTTGTGACGCCGTACCGATTCCCAGTGTTGCACCCATTGTCACACCAAAGCCCGGGGATCCGCCCGTGAAAACCTACTCCATAAATAACGGGAAAGTAGACTGCATCGTGCTTCAGGCGGGGATAGAGTTTACCATACCATACACAAGTAATGGAGCGGTATGTATTGAAATCTACAGATGTTTAGATCCTTCCATAAGCATTGAAAGATTAATTGAATATTTTTATCCTTTAATCTTCAGCGTTTAATGAAAACAGTTGGTGTTCCTGATGCCACTCAAGTGACGGGGATTTGTGGAGAGGGCGTGGCTACCATCCAGTCAATGTCTCTTATGTTTTACGATGACTGGCTTCTTAATTTCATCCTCTCACATTCCGCATCTGCGTCCCATCATTTATTAATGGACGGTACAACTTACGGAATCAAAGAAATCTCTTTGGAGTACAACATTTCATCTACCTTGTTTCCCGATGCCGACAATACCGGTAATAAAATTTTGTCTTTTAAAATAAAATGAAAAATGAAAAATTAATTTAAAAAAAAACTCTTCCTTTTCTCGCTGCAATTCCTGTTGTAGTTGAAAATACATCTTTTTGTATGACGTATACAAAATGCTTAACATTGTTATATTGATGGGTATTTTGAGGTAATACCTATAAGGTATGATGATGATCTGTGTAAGATAAGATGGCTACAGAGCAATATTCTGACTCGATTGAAATAATTTGTAGGTGAGAAAATGTTGGCTAAACATGTCTTTGCAACACCCAATTTCTTGACCCCAGTAGGAAGCAGCTATAGATGTCAGGCTAATACTAACGTGGATGTACAGGGAATACAAACGAGACTGACATCATTTCAGTATTTGGCATTTGGAACCCAAAATTCGACTTCATTTGACCCAAGTAAGTCTCACAGTTTATTGTTCAAATAGTATGTATAGGTGTCTTCATCTTAAGGGGTGATGGTTAATATTTTTTTCTTTCTACAGATTTTGAATCACAATGTTACAGTTTTCTTAAGAGAATATATTGTAAATGCTCAAAACAATTAATTTAAAGACTCTTTCTAACAATTTTTATTCAAAATTAAAAAGACATGGACTTTGGGGTCTGAGTATCATTCTTAAGCTTGCTTTCTTTAAGGGTCCAATCAATAATCTTCTCCAGGTCTGAAAATTTCTCCAGTAAAACTGTCTTCAGTGATAAATATTTTGTACTCACATTTGCTCTGTTTACCGAGTTAAAAAATATTTTACCCACTTTTGAAATTCTCTTTTGATTTTAAACTCTACTTCATTTTAGATTTGCTAAATGATTGCTCCCTTCCTAGTAATATGCTTTAGTTGTTTGCAATACTGTTTTCACTTTCTGTTAGCCTGTATTTAGACTATTTACCAATTCCACTCCGAACAGGAAAAATGAAATACTGGGCATAGGCCTTTGCACCCGATACTTTCATATTGTTCACTTTTGCTTCTTGTCAACGCTTTCGTGCATGTATGTAAAATTTGAAGATAATGAACAGTGATCAATATCATAAATCCAGTTAACAAAAAGGAATCGAACACGGATTCTTGGAAACACCAGAGGTGAGATCAGGTGCCTAGGAGGAGTAAGCATTCCCTGTTGTCCGGTCACACTCGCCGATACCTCTATATTGATCAGGTATACGGTGTACTCTGTAATTAAATTTGTATAAAAGCTATGACCAAACAAATGGTATCAAACATGCGACCCAAGATAGGTTGTATTTACAAATGTCATTATGACGATGGTAGAATTTGCGAAAAGCTTATTTTAAATGGGGTTGATGAAATCCTTGTAACATAAACTTATTTTTCAGGAGCTTGTCACAAAGTTATAATGTCAACTGTATAAATATAAATTGGTATGCCATACATGTATATTGCTAGAACTAGAAATAACAATAGGTCAACACGTTCTAACTTTATTCCGTCTACCTGATCAATACATATACCGGTAACTCACGGCAGGCGTGACAGGTGGACAGGGGATGCTTTCTCATCCTAGGCAGCTGATCCCACCTTTTTAGGGGTGTTGTTTTACGCTTAGTTCACAAAGTATCGTTTGGAAAAAAAATTGAGATCGATTTTTACTGTTCATTATCTTCACTATTTCACTTCAGATGCAGTCACGGACTGCCAATCTCCATCCCCTTCCCCCGAGGACAACGATTACACAGGAACCATCGTCGGTGTAATCATCGCTGTCTTTTTTATTGTCATGGTTTTTATAGGTATTATCTTATATATGAAGAAGAAAGGAAAGGGATCATATGAACAAGTTTACTAATTTTCCAGGACTGTTGTGTGTGAGAGTGCATTTTCTTGATTGGTATGAATTACAAGAAATCGAGTCATTACACATTTCCTGTAATATACAGATTCATATATTAATTCTTTTAGAGTTTGACAAATTAATTCTCAGACATGAATGACTTTTTTCATTTTTAGTTGAATGTATATTATACATTTTTTAAATAATGTACACATTGTTGGCGATTTAAATTACAATAATTTACCATTTATACCGATAGTTTGTTCATCAGTAAGAAAATAGATAGCTAGTATATAGATAAGTTGTGAGTTTGTTTATCTTTGATGAAATTACTCAGGTTGTTTGTAAATGTTCTGTATATATGTGTATAGGCAAAATAAATTCATAAGAAATGTGTATGTTGGATTTTTCTTAATCGAAAAGCTAAAAAAAATCGAAACGGAATATTTTTTATGGAACACCGTTCTCCCAGTTCTTTTGATTTTTATTCCCCGTTATTGCTCTCAATATAAATAGTTACCTAAAGAGTGATTTTTAAAGAGCAAAAGGAGTATTTATAGCCATACCATTGCAGACCAACATGATCCTCTTGGTACGGCTGAAAAAAGTCTAAGATATGGAGGAGTTTTAAAAAGAACGGCGATGTCTACATAGAAATAATTCATCAATTCAAGACATCTCAAATTCAGACAATAACAATGCACTGTACATTAAAACTCGAACATCTGAAATACAGATAACTTATTATATTATTATAGCTCTATCTTGTAAAGTGGGGTATATAGTGATGGTACTGTCCGTCGACACGTCTATCACACGGGGTACCCATCTCTTATCTGCAACTTCTCTTACATCACTAAATGCAATTTAATGAAACTTTCACAGTATTTTTATTACATAGTGGGAATGTGTATTGTCTATTTTACATTTTTTTTGGGTTTCCCATAGCAAAACATAAAGACACTGCCATTTTTTCCATAATATTGGGGGTATCCTTTACATGTAACTCTTGCAACTCCTCCTATACCACTGAATGAAATTTAATGAGATTTCCACAGAATCTTTATTTCACAGTGAACATCATGCACCGCCTATTCTACTTTTTGAACGGACAGATATTTGGGGTTTTCCCATGGCAAAGTATAAACTGTGTCATTGTACTCGATAAAGGGGGTACCTTCATTTTAACGCATCCTCCTGAGCCCCTGAATGAAATTTAATGGCACTTTCACCGAATCCCATTTACATACTGCCAAAAAATGCACTTTGCCATTCTACTCATATGAGTTGCTCAAAGTACCTTCACTTCTGAATTTCTATTTCCACTGCCCTATTTTTTCTATGACCATCTGTCTTCAGTAGTCTGGTTGAAGATAAAACGTATGTGTATAATATGACTGTCATAGTTTATATTCAAGTAACTCTCTCAAAATAGGAGGAAACATTGTTCTTTGCATAGTTGTCTTTTACAAAATCATGTCTAGTTCATAACTCAAAAATTTGAAAGTATTGTATTGTTGAAAAGTTCATCATATTCACATTGCTACACTGTGGACTTAAAAGATTCCCAACACTTTCCACATTGTCATTGCTACCATATGGAAAGGCCAGAAACGTAAGCGTAGTCATGGTCATTGGTCTTACAATAAACCTATTATACACGTCTCCTTTGATTTACTACTACTTTACGTTAATGAACAATCAGGTCTTCATCACATTCGCACCAAACTTTATGCTGTCCCTTTGAAAGTTTTAAATAGTTTACTAGTATTTGAAAAAAGTCAAAGGAAAGTCCATATTTGAATTGGCTTCGACACCAGATTTTTGTTAATCTCAAAGTCGAAACTATTTGATTAACGTATTACCAGATACTACCATATCATTACACTACCACCACCAACTCTATCAACGTCCCGAAGGCAGTTTTCTGTAAAGTGTTCTTTACTAAGCTTATGCACTCTTAAACTTGCAACAGGCTTTGCGATAAACATTCTGGACTAGTAACTTTACCAAAATATTCAGCAGTGTTGCTTTGGCAATACTCTGTTGGTCTGAGATCTTTGAAGTCGATATTTGTGGTGTTGTGGGGTCAGAACAATGGCATGAATAATCCTCTGGCAATCGTTCCAGCATTAAGCACAGTCAACTGCAAACGGTCTTGTTAGATATTATGTGCAGTTCAGGGATAGCTAATGTTGAAGATGATGTCATTGTGAAACTTCATGAAAATTACGCAAACCACTGAAGCCATCCTGTGCTGCTGATTTCACACGTGGTCTGCCATATTTTTGGCAAACATTTGGTGTATCATGCTGTTGGTATATGTTTTATAGGTTAGATATGGTGTTTTATGCAACATTAAAACCTTTTGCAATTGTACACTGTGGTACGCCCGCTTCCAGTCGTCCAATTTCTTTTTTGTGATATGCAACATTCAGATGCAGCATTTTTAAATAGCGTCAAGTTTTAGATAAAACCAGAATCAAAATATCGAAAACCCAAGCTTTTGATAATCTTTTTGTACCTGAGGGAATTGCATCAGAAACAAACAAATGGAAATTGTTAAAAAAAAAAATTTAGCATTTTGCAAAATCAGGTTTTTTTGTCTGTAAGATTTGTTGAATAGCTGTACAATTAACAATTGCGTTAAAAATAATGCATATTACTCGAAAGAATCATGTCCATCTTAAATAAATTGTATAGCAAAACTATCTTACATTATTCAGGGTATTGTTCCTATTATTAATGATATAATAAACATTATTTATTTGATAAAATTCGAAAGGGAACTCTCTGGAAACCCTTCGAAAATTCTTTATGCTGTTGCTATACAACTGCTGAGGAGAAATAGTTTAATTTGCTGGACAAGTAGGTAGAGAATATATTTTTTTTCATCACTAAATCCATAATATTGGGAATTCAAACATCACTATGTATCTTTGCGTTTTAACTTACATACCTATAGTACATTATAATTAGATAGATCTAGAAACTCCATCTCCAACAGATTTCGGTGACTGATTTTGTTACGAAAAAAAAAACAATAACAAACAACATTTTCGATATGTAATCTATTTGTGACATTTTCAATTCTAGATATATCAAAACTATAGATATATCGAAACTATAGATCAGCTCTGACTCTAAAACAAACCAAACAAACAGTCTCTCATATTCATAATATTTCATTTAAGTCCAAAGAACTTTAAAATGCGAGTTTTGAGGCCTCTTCTCTTTGTTGGAAAGAATTCCTGAAGAAAAAAAATCAAAACTGCTTTAAATAAAAAGAAATAAATAAATGTGTTTATGAAAAGACGGTTATATATAATTAACGAGTTTTGAAAACAAAGTTCTGATTCTTTTTATCAACGTCAATAAAGATACCTTTTCTGCATTAGATTTCTCTGTAACAAAATCATGATTATCCTGCATGCTCGAGCACAGGTTCGGAATAGACACGATTTCATTTGGCACGTCACTCTGAAAAAGATGGAAGAGCTATTTTATTGTTAAAATCTTAGGAAAAAAGTAAAGTAAATATATGTTGAGTGTCGTCTCCCTCAGGGGATAATTATGTTTACCTGTGGGCTGTCTCTGAAGGAATCCACGTTAAATAAGAACAACTTTCGGGGAACAAACGTTTCCTCGTTATCATAATCTGTAGCTGTCATCCGTCCTTCACACTTGAAATTCTTTAAATATGAAATTAAAAAGGAGGTTTAAAACAAAGAGGAAAAACACATGAAAGTTAATTCAAATACATGTATCTTTAAAATATTCCTACAGTTTACCTTTGATTTCTCCTGGGTTTCTTGTTGGCCCTGGTCTGGTTTCAAATCGAAACTTTTGGCCTAAAGAAAGAAATATTTTCGTCAAGTGGTCAGGTAAAACTAGACAATAAATTATAAATATTTGCAAGAGTTGATAACAAACTTACTTCTGAATTTTTCTCGAATTCTTTCTGCAGCTTTTCTTTCGCCATTTTAATCATCTTATTGATGTATTCCTAGATTTAAAAAAATCAAACTACAGTAGAATAATTTAAATTCCTAGCGTCCAATTACTTGCATGTAGATTTGCTGCAAATGTACTGGTTCGTTGGGACGTTATTTCGTGGGCGAATTATCTCAGTATGAAGGATATCACATTTAGCTATTATATATTTCAATAAAATTAAGGTCATAAATGTGCGTAAAATATCCATGAAATAAATTCACAAAAATTGAGATCCACAAAATCATATTTCACAATACATCTGTTAAAGACTGTAATGTGTGTGTGTGTGTGTGTGAGGGTGTGTGTGTGTGTGTGTGTGTGTGAGGAAGAGAGTGTATGCATGTTTTGTGTGTGTGTGAAGCATTATCTCAAAAATAATTTTTTTTTTTCAATTATTATTTACAAGTTAGTAGGCAAGTGCATAATTGGTTAAGTGTTGTATGGACATACTTACTCTTGCTATTTGCTTTCGCAGCTTTTCATTTGCGGCAATTATAATATCTTCGACATATTCCTAGAGAAAGATAGGGAATTCGCCTGATTTACATGGATAATTTAAAAAATCTTCACACTCTTATTTCTTGAACAACTTTATAGAAATATTTCCCTTAATATTACCTTAGTCTATAATAAATTTACTTCTGTTTAATCAGTGTCAGCAAAGACACCGAGCATTTAACCTTTCAAATTACAAAACATCAATATCTAACAATACCTTAATGAGGCGATACTGTTTCTTCTTCTCCACTAACTAAAAAATAAATAAAAGTAAAATGAAATAAATCTTAACATGTTAAGTGAAATATTCGTATATCACATGAGAAAAACTTACGCACAAGTAAGTCTTGTGTACTTACCGCAAGTTCTCTGTGGAGTGCTTCCATCATTTCTACTTTTCTGTTCATATCTGCTCGAATTTGGGTCATATAATTGATCCTTTTGGCTACTGTTTCCTATTATAGAAGGACAATTTGTATAGAGGAAAGATTTAAAACAGACGTGATATTTATTTCCTTTGGAACATGTTTATTGCTTTCTA